TAAATTAGTATCTTTTTGAAAAGAATTTTGCATGTTTCTCTGAACAACTGAGGGGATAACACTTTGTATATCCCTTGCATGCTAAAAAAAATTCTTAACAAACTGTTAGCAGCTATAGTTTCAAAAAGGATCTCACGTAATTCCTTCCCACAATTCAAACAGGTACCAAGGTAACCCTAATGCAATGTGATAAAGTGCTACATAGTGGCATGACCAAGGTATTATGAGTAGGAACACAGAGATGAGGAAAATATGGATTATGTTTATGGTGTGGAGACACAGAAGCAAAGGAATATCTGTTAAAGCAGTTGTTTACTTCTACCTTAAGTTATGGATCGTAATTCTCTTCCAGAGAGGAAAGCGGTGGTTGCAGATGGTGGAAGGGGATAAGGTTCACATATTAAAGATATGAAAGCATATGAAGTGTGTAGCATTGTCAGATAATAAATAGATATAGTTGGATCATGGGATGCAAAACAAAAAATAGGCAAAACAAGTAGAACATGAGCCTAACTGAAAAGTACAGCACAAAAGCGTTTTGAAAGCTCTAAGAAATTACAGTTCACCAACAGTCATAAAAGACCTATTAAACCGTTAATAAGGTGGTCTGTTCAGACTGCTGATGGGTGTTTGCTGAAACAGAAAATAATAACAAAGAATGTAGAGGCTTTGTGGTACCTCTAATGAAATGCGGGTACAGTAGGGGTAGTGAGAAAGAAAAGAGCATATATGTGGTTGATATATTAAATTTTAAAGAGGAAATATGGTATGTGAACCTTTTGAAAAGTATCCTTAACTCTATGATTGGTACTGTTTAGATTTCAGATTTAAAACATAAATGTTTGCTATTTGTCATATTTTGGGGGTAGTAAATAATTACAAACACAATTGAAGACATTCATGCTACTGTATTATATTCCTATTTCTCTCCCCATAGAAAATCAGCATTCTGAAGTTGTTGAGTATCCTTTCTGTTCAAACTTTTGTAGTTTTACTGTATATATGTGCATTCATATTTAATATTTGTATAACTATAATTCAAAAATTATATGTCTTATTTTATAATTTGATATTCACTCAATATTATATTTTTTGAGATCCTACCAAGGTGAGAAATACAAATCTGGCTCACTCTGATTACTTTCCAAGTAATTTATTCCAAGTGATTTAATTATTTCCAAGTAATTTAATTATATGAACTCTATTCATATGCAATTTACTTATGCATTATTTCATTGTGGACATAAAGGCTATTTTCATTGGTAGATACATATTTCAATGGAAGAATCTACTGGGCTTGACATATATTATCTCTTATTGTCATTCTTATAACATTGACTTTCTCTGTTTTATTTGTTTATTTACTTTTAGTTTTTTGAGACAAGGTCTTGCTCTATAGTCCAGCATGGTTTTGAACTAACTACACCATATAGGCTGGCCTAAAATTCATGATAATCCTCCTCCTCCAACCTTCCAAATTCTGGAATGATGGGCATGCACCACTACACCCAAAAATTTCTCTCTATATGGGAAATGGCTGCAGAGGTGACATGTATTTTACTGAAATTCACCAAGTTATTTAAAGTGGCAGAATGTGCAAAAAGTTTTTCAGATACTGAAATCTATAACAATTTTATTATCATATGCAGCTACTTAAAAATGCAGTAGAAATAACTGCTAATAGATATTGTAAGCGCTAAAATCGAGATCAAGTCAAAGAATGACACAATCACATAGTCTGTCTTTAATATTTAGTCTGAGATGGAGTCCTAGAGTTCCTGTGTTCCACTGAGATTGGTGATCAACCTTGATGTATTTGAACATGACTAAGGGAGTCAAGCTATTTACTGGGACTTTTATGTATCCATTAGTCTTCAGGGCACCATGGGGCTCAGAAAGAAAAACGTTTGGTGGTCTATTTCAAGAGTTAAAAATGAGGCACTAGAAACAGAAAATTTATCAAATCAGATGAGCCAAGAACGATTTCATAAAGGAGAACTTGAACACAGGTGATAGTGTGGTGACTTCTAGGTAGTTACAGTACACTGGACCCTCCTCTGGAGAGAGAAAGCAGAAGAGAGATTGCACTGGCATTTTCTGTTATAAGTTTATCCAGAAATCGACCTGCTCCAAATGAGAATATTTCCCCAAACAATTAGGAAACTAACAAATGTTTTAGAAATAGCCAAGTTTCTTAAGACACAGAGGATTATTAAAAATTGACAGACAGTTATGAGGGATGGTTAATTTGTAGACTAACAGGGTATCCATCAATATGTCAATACATAGCAGCCCTGAGTTGTAAAAGAGGCTCATCTTCCCCCAACATTTCTATCATCATCCTGACACATACTTTGTTCAAGTTATATTCTCAGAAAGTCAAAGAAAAATGAGAGAGAAAAGATTTGAAAAGAGAATTGAAGTGAGACAACATAAATTTATAATTTTGATCAAGTTACTTGACATATGTGGGAATGATTAGAGACTTTCCTGTATTAACAATCTCTTACATAGTGACAGCTCCTACAGTTGACCTCATTAGTTCTGTTTTCTCAAACTGTGAGGAAGGTATCCTTTTAGTCTTAGTTCTACTTTCTTCAGACAAATTTTTCATTTTTCTGAATTTCACCATTTCTTCTTTCCTTACTTGGTCAATCTACAACCCCAAACACAAGGATTTCATTTATCTTTTCAACAGATATCTAGCTGTTCCTTTTATAGATCTGAAATGATTCTAAAATTTTGATGAATTGGATTAAACAAGAGAGATGTGGTCCCTAACATTATGATGTTATTGCTTAATCAGGAATGGGACATTAAAAAACTATAAGTATAGTGTTTTTGAAAACAAATCATTTAACTTATACAAAACAATTTAAATTCCTATTATTGAAAGAAGTGAATATATTTTAATATTATTATTCTATATTAAAATATCTTTTCTGATATGGAATTTTGATGCTTTCTGCTGGTCAGGGAAATCTTTTTTCTTATTCATTCATTTTGTCTTATGCATTAAGTGCATTATGGACAAGTGAAAGAGAGACATTTATAAAATATATAAGATAGGCATATAGTAACATGCAAAAATTATTGTATGAATTAATATTGTATAGATAAAAAACAACATCAAAGAGTTTAATTTGCCTCCAAATCAACCTGTCAGTGGATGAATCATGATATATGTTTTGATTATATGGACTCAAAACCCATATTTTTGCAACTATGCTATGTTGCTTCTCTATGTAAAATTAAATGGTTATAATATAGTAAATTGCTACACAGAAGTTTGAAAAAAATATTTTAAAATTATATTCGGTGTTTCTCACAACTTTCAGAACATGAATCAAGTACACCAAAGCAATGTTTCTTAAATTACCTGTATAAGGAAAGGCTGTAAACTTTTCCTTTTAACTTCCAGTCCTTCACGTGTGGTTACTTTTGGAAAACAAAATCAGAGCCATGGGTGTCACTGTAATGACCACTGCTAGAGAAGTTTCTAAAAACTTGTTCACAGTATTTTTTGTACCTAACACAATACAAAGTGCCCACAGACAGTTCATATACATTTACATTCCTAGAGATCAGTTTTATTCATTTATTTATTTATTTTTACCAGTATGTGTCACTACACCTGGCCAACCCTTTTTTACTTTAAAGAGAATAAAACCAAATAAAAATGATACAGAATTTCAAAGCAAGATGATAGGATATTAACAAATGTTATTATATTGCATATTGTTATCTTCAAAGTAGTTGCTCAAATTACCAGATAGAGGTATGCAAAATTGATGAAACAATATAAGCTCTAACTGTTCCTTTCAATGAACTAGTAGAAATTAGCAGTAAAAGAATCTTAGTTATGATACATATATTTTCCCCTTCCTTCTTTTCTCCTTTCCCTCATCTCACTTGTTCTTTCCTTCTGAGCAAGTTCTTTCCCTTGGTACACTGGAACAACCACTGTGGAAATCAGTGTGAAGATTTCTTTAAAAAGTAGGATTAGAGGTCCCATTCAACCCAGCTATTCCCCTCCTGGGTATTTTTCAAGAATTGAAAAATCATACCACAGCAATATATGTGCACCCATGTTTATAGCAGCACAATTTGTCATAGCAAAATCTTGGAAACAACCCAAATTCCCATCAACTGAGGAACAGATAAAAAAAGACACGGTATTTTTATACAATTGTATACTACTTGGCTATTATAGATAATTGTATACTACTCAAGGCTTTTATAGGTAAATAGATGCAAGTAGAGACCATAGTCATAAGTGAAATAAACCAAACCTACTTGTGTAAACATTGTGTCTCCCTAGTGTATGAAACTGAAAGAGTAGATAAGATCCAAAATGTACAATAGATATTGTGAAAGAGAAAGAAACTGCTCAAGAGGATAGTATTTTTCATTTCTTTAGCATATAGATATGAATAAATCATAATGCCTGCCTCCAAGAAGTTTGCAGTCTCCTTGGTGAGTTAAAATTTTACTCAGTTCACTATGAGGGAGAGTAAAACAATAAGGCAAGTTTTCACAGATGTGATAATATAAATTAATATTGAAGATGAATATATTCTCAGGGGTAGTGAATGGGAAGGAAAGAAGAAAGGTCTACTTGCCAAATGAGAGAACATTGGCTTGAGAATGGACACAATAGAGATAATGACTGAGAATGACTGCATTAATTTTGACCAAAATCAGAAGGGTTATGGGTTGAAACCATACTTCTTAAGTTGGTAATTTTTTATCTCATGAGGAGCATCACACCATCTAGCTATGAGGAATGGAGTGATATTAAATGCACAGAGAACTGAGTGGCAGAAAATCCATATGACAGTCACCAAATTTATATTTCGGAGACCATGAGTGTATTAGTTTTGATGCTGATTAACATAGACTTTAGTTTTGATTTATGTCTTTCAAGTCTATTAATGCACTTACCATAATTTATATTTTCACATTCTGTTCTATCTCAGGTGGCATAGCCAACAAAGCCAATGGATGGAGTGAATCACTCAGTTGTGTCAGAGTTTGTATTCCTGGGACTCACCAATTCCTGGGATATCCAACTAGTCCTCTTTGTGTTCTCTTCCATGTTTTATGTGGCAAGCATGATGGGAAACTCTCTTACGGTGTTCACTGTGGCTTCTGATCCTCACTTGCACTCCCCTATGTACTTTCTGTTGGCTAACTTGTCCTTCATTGATATGGGTGTTTCTTCTGTCTCCTCTCCCAAGATGATTTATGATCTTTTTAGAAAACACAAAGTTATCTCATTTAGGGGGTGCATCACTCAAGTCTTCTTCATCCATGTTATTGGTGGTGTGGAGATGGTGTTACTCATAGTCATGGCCTTTGATAGGTATATAGCCATATGTAAACCTCTCCATTATCTCACCATTATGAACCCAAGAATGTGCATCTTATTCTTAGTGGCTGCCTGGATGATTGGCCTTACACATTCTCTGGTTCAACTGGCTTTTGTTGTAAACTTACCTTTCTGTGGCCCTAATGTGTTGGACAGCTTTTATTGTGACCTTCCTCGGCTCATTAAACTTGCCTGTACAGATACCTACCAACTGGAATTAATGGTCACAGCCAACAGTGGATTCATCTCTCTGGGCTCTTTCTGTATACTGATCATTTCTTATATCATCATCATTCTCACTGTTCAGAAACACTCTTCCACTGGTTCCTCCAAGGCTCTGTCTACACTTTCTGCTCACATCACTGTGGTAGTCTTGTTCTTTGGTCCTTTGATATTTTTCTACACATGGCCATCTCCTTCTACACATGTGGATAAGTTCCTGGCTTTTTTTGATGCAGTTCTTACTCCTTTTCTGAATCCTATCATCTACACATTCAGGACTCAAGAAATGAAGGTGGCAATGAAGAGAGTATGCAGACAGATAGCAAGTTATAGAAAGATATCTTAAGTGATTGTAGTAATTTGGAGTATTTTGTGGTATTTTACACCATTAAAGTTCACTGTGATGGTCAAACTGAGGTAAATCAGCTCTTCATCATATAGTGATTTGATCATTCACACTGACATTAGGTCTTTTTTTTTTTTTACTTCTTGAAGAACAGGAGGAATTATATATAAAATGTTTTGAAAAGAAACATTATAATAATCATGAGCCTCAATTATTTTTTTTTATTTTAAAGAGTAAAAGAAGGATAACATAACAATAGGGGGGACTCAGCAAATTACAGACAAAATGGTAGGAAATTATCAATGGTTATCGTTTTACATATTATTATCTACAAAATAGTTTCTCAGGAAAACAAATAGACAAATAATAGTGAGTTAGAGACAAAAGAGGTAGGAGATTA